CAGCATTAATCATTCTCTCTCTGTGCCATTTTCTCAACTATCTGGGAGGTCATCGACTTGCCCAGATTTATCACAGGATGTTTCCTTCGTTTCACTAACCGAGGGTGAAATGTAGCTACTGCTACAGGCTTGTATTGGAATCCCTGCGGGTGACCGTTTCAATGTGCTGCAGTGCAGGAGCACTGGGAAAGAACAGTGACCAAGAGATTCACAGAGAAGAGCCTCAAGCCAGGCAGCTAAGTCCATATTTAGGCACCTAAAAAAGGACCCAGATTTTAAAGGTGCAGAGCATCCAATAGCTCCCTCTTGCCAGCATCTGGAGCTCCTGTGTGCTTGAATCAGGCCACCTAATGTCAGACTCCAACTTCGGAAACCCTTGGCCTGATGCCCTGTACTGTATTTATCCATAGGCCAGGTACATGATGGGCAGCAGCCGCGCAACTGTCCCCACGTCCTAGCCACTGTGCCTCTCTTCTAGAAAGACAAGCCTGCCAAGCAGTGCTAGGACTCTGATAAAGTTTGCAAATGACACCAAGATTGGGGGAGTGCTAAATAATGAAGACAGGTCACTGATAGGGAGCGATCTGGATCACGTGGTAGGCTGGGCTCAAGTAAACAATGTGAATTTCAATATGGCCAAATGTAGTTATACAGCTAGGAACAAAGACTGTCGGCCATACTAATGGGATGGAGGACTCTATTCTGCGAAGCGGTGAGTGAAAAGGATGTGGGGATTATGGTGAATAATCAGCTCAACACGAGTTCCCAGCAATACGCGGCTGTGATCCAAAGGACTAATGGGATCCTTGCTTGTAGGAGAATCTCGAGTAGGAGCAGAGAGGTTTCTTTGGCACTGGTGTGACCACTGCTGGAATCCTGTGCCCAGTTCTGGTGCCAACTATTCAAGAAGGAGGTTGCTAACTTGGAGAGGGGTCAGAGAAGTGGTGGATTCTCCATCACTAGCCATTTTTAAATCAAGAAGAGCTGTTTTTCTAAAAGATCTGCTCTTAGTTCAAATAGGGATCAATTCAGGGAAGTCCTATTAGCTTGTCACAATAGTCCATTCTGGCCTATTAATCCAAGCATCAAGAATAAGAGCTGCTGCTTGGTTTGAGCCCCTGACTAGGTGAAAAGACATCTCACTTTGTCCTGCTCTGCCATCAGTTCTCCCGTATTATGCAGCGTTGCTCCAGGTCAGTATTTAAGAACGTAAGAATATAAGAATGGCCACACTGGGTCAGACCAATGGTCCATCTAACCCAGTATCCTGTCTTCTGACAGTGGCCAATGCCAGGTGCCCCAGAGGGAATGAACAGAACAGGTAATCATCAAGTGATCCATCCCCTGTCGCCCATTGCCAGCTTCTGGCAAATGGAGGCTAGGGACACCATCGCTGTCCATCCTGGCTAATAGCCATTGATGGACCTATCCTCCATGAATTTATCTAGTTCTTTTTTGAACTCTGTTATAGTCTTGGCCTTCACAACATCCTCTGGCAAAGAGTTCCACAGGTTGACTATGCATTGTGTGAAGAAATGCTTCCTTTTGTTTGTTTTAAACCTGCTGCCTATTAATTTCATTTGATGATCCTTAGTTCTTGTGTTATGACAAGGAGTAAATATTCACTGTCTCCACACCAGTCATGATTTTATAGATCTCTATCATATCCCCCCTTAGTCATCTCTTTTCCAAGCTGAAAAGTCCCAGTCTGATTAATCTCTCCTCATACGAAATCTGTTCCATACCCCTATCATTTTTGTTGCCCGTTTCTCAACCTTTTCCAATTGTAATATATCTTTTTTGGGGTGGGGTGACCACATCTGCACGCAGTATTCAAGATGTGGGCGTACCAGGGATTTATATAGAGGCAATATGATATTTTCTGTCTTATTATCTATCCCTTTCTTAATGATGCCCAACATTCTGTTCGCTTTTTTGACTGCTACTGCACATTGAGTGGATGTTTTCAGAGAACTATCCACAATGACTCCAAGATCTCTTTCTTGAGTGGTAACAACTAAGTTAGACCCCATCTATTTTATATGTATAGTTGGGATTATGTTTTCCAATGTGCATTACTTTGCATTTATCAACATTGAATTTCATCTGCCATTTTGTTGCCCAGTCACCCAGTTCTGAGAGATCCCTTTGTAACTTCGCAGTCTGCTTTGGACTTACCTATCTTGAGTAGCTTTGTATCATCTGCAAATTTTGCCACCCCTCAGCTTACCCTTTTTTCCAGATCATTTATGAATATGTTAAATAGGACTGGTCCCAGGACAGACCCCTGGTGACACCACTATTTACCTCTCTCCATTCTGAAAACTGACCATTTATTCCTACTCTTTGTTTCTTATTTTTTAACTAGTTACTGATCCATGAGAGGACCTTCCCTCTTATCCCATGACTGCTTACTTTGGTGAGGGACCTTGTCAAAGATTTTCTGAAAATTTAAGTACACTATGGGTATGTCTACACTATGAAATTAGGTTGATTTTATATAATTTGATTTTTAGAAATCGATTTTATACAGTCGATTGCGTATGTCCACACGAAGCACATTAAGTCGGCAGAGTGCGTCCTCACTACCGTGACTAGCATCGACTTACGGAGTGGTGCACTGTGGGTAGCTATCCCACAGTTCCTGCAGTCTCCACTGCCCATTGGAATTCGGGGTTGAGCTCCCAATGCCTGATGGGGTAAAAACATTGTCGCGGGTGGTTTTGGGTACATGTCGTCAGTCGCCCCTCCCTCCGTGAAAGCAACGGCAGACAATCGTTTCGCGCCTTTTTTCTATGCAGACGCCATCCCACGGCAAGCATGGAGCCCGCTCAGCTCAGCTCAGCGTCACCGCTGCTGTTGTGTCCTGGGTGCTGCTGGCAGCAGACGGTGCAGTAGGACCGCAAACCATCGTCATCCACCGCTTCCGCTGCAACTCTGCTCTCCTGCTCTCCTCAGATGCCATATCACAGCAAGCATGGAGCCCACTCAGCTCACCATCACTGCTGCTGTTGTGGGCATTGTAAACACCTCGGGCATTATCCTTGAGTATATGCAGAACCGGGCTAAGAGACGGCCGCACAAGGGCGATTGTGAGGAGGACATGGACACAGACATTCCTGAAAGCATGGGCTGTGGCAATTGGAACATCATGGTGGCACTGGGGCTGGTTGATACTGTGGAACGCCGATTCTGGGCCAGGCAAACAAGCACAGACTGGTGGGACCACATAGTGTTGCAGGTATGGAATGATTCACAGTTGCTGCGAAACTTTCACATGCGTAAGACCACTTTCCTGGAACGTTGTGACTTGCTTTCTCCTGCCCTGAAGCGTAGGAATACCAAGATGAGAGCTGCCCTGACAGTTGAGAAGCAAGTGGCGATAGCCCTGTGGAAGCTTGCAATGCCTGACTGCTACCGGTCAGTTGGGAATCAATTTGGAGTGGGCAAGTCTACTGTCGGGGCTGCTGTGATCCAAGTAGTCAATGCAATTGTTGATGTTCTGTTATCAAGGGTAGTGACTCTGGGAAATGTGCAGGTCATAGTGGATGGCTTTGCTGCAATGGGGTTCCCTAACTGTGGTGGGGCGATAGGTGGAACCCATATCCCCATTGTGGCACCGGACCACATTGCCAACAGGTACTTCTCAATGGTGCTGCAAGCACTGGTGGATCACAAGGGACATTTCACCAACATCAACGTGGGATGGCCGGGAAAGTGCATGACGCTGTTCGAGCAGCTGCAAGAAGGGACTTACTTCCCAGACCAGAAAATTATTGTTGGGGATGTTGAAATGCCAATAGTTATCCTTGGGGACCCAGCCTACCCCTTGTTCCCATGGCTCATAAAGCCGTACACAGGCAGCCTGGACAGCAGTAAGGAGCAGTTCAACTATAGGCTGAGCAAGTGCAGAATGGTGGTAGAATGTGCCTTTGGATGTTTAAAAGCTCGCAGGTGCTGTTTGCTGACTAGGTCAGACCTCAGTGCAACCAACATTCCCATTGTTATTGCAGTTTGCTGTGTGCTCCATAATATCTGAGAGTGTAAGGAGGAGACGTTTATGGTGGGGTGGGAGGTTGAGGCAAATCGCCTGGCGGCCAATTTTGCACAGCCAGACACCAGGGCGATTAGAAGAGCACAGCTAGGCATGCTGCGCATCAGAGAGGCTTTGAAAACCAGTTTCATGACTGTCCAGGCTTTGGTGTGACAGTTGTGTGTGTTTCTCCTTGATGCAAACCCGCCCCTTTGTTGATTTTAATTCCCTGTAAGCCAACCACCCTCCCCCCTTCAAAATAAAGTAGCGATTGTTTTGAAGCCATGCATTCTTTCTTTAATAATTAAAAAAAAATTAGATAACAGACACGGTATCCTGGGTGGGATGGGGGAGGAGGGAAGGAAAAGGCCACATTGTTTATTGTAGCCACACTACAAATCAAACTGCTTGAATGACAGCCTTCTGTCGCTTGGGCCATCCTCTGCAGTAGAGTGGCTGGGTGCCCGGAGCCTCCCACCGCGTTCTTGGGCGTCTGGGTGAGGAAGCTATGGCACATGGGGAGGAGGGTAGGCGGTTATACAGTGGATGCAGCGGGGGTCTGTGCTGTTGTTGGCTTTCCTGCAGCTCCAACACATGCTTCATCATGTCCGTTGCTTCCCCAACAGATACTTCAGCATGTCCATTTGCTCCCCCATTAGCCTCAGCATCGCATCCTGCCTCCGCTCTTCGTGCTCACTCAATTCTTTCCTGGCCTCTGCCACTGAATGCCTCTATGCATTCAGCTGTGCCCTATCAGTGCAGGAGGACTTCATGAGCTCGGAAAACACGTCATTGCGAGTGCGTTTTTTCGCCTTCTAATCTGCGATAACCTCAGAGACGGAGATGATAGGGGGAGCGTAGAAACATTTGCAGCTGGGGGGAGAGTAAAAAGGG